GAAAATGATTAACTAAGATACAATGAATCCTCCCACCAAAGGAATCTTCTATCGGTTGACATTTCCTCTTCGGCAAGAAACAAACCACCTAAAATGCTTCCCTAGGACAAAATTTTGGCAAGCTCCTTATAATCTATAAACTAAGACCAGTTAAAGTAGTAACAGACCTTGAGTGATGAACTAAGTGATGTCAAGGAACAAGAATCCAAAAATGGATCTCAGGTAGGGCAAGGAATTAATGTGCCTTCTCCATATTTTCTGCAGCCTCTGCCATGAGGTCAATAATGTTTCTACCTTGAAACATGTCTGAATTTGAGGGCTGGGGAAAAGTCACGAGGAATGAAATGAAAAAATGCCCGAGGAAAATGAGGGATGATCGATGCCATTGCGGATTAGAGTGACTCTTCTTGAAAGCAAGAAGAGGAAGCTCATCACATGCATGAAACAGAATTCTGTGGAGCTCCTCCATAATATCCCTAGAAAATCCTGCGCCAAAGAAAATGTTGAGTATGGGGGCTTATTTTTCAAAATTACTTTTTTCCCTTAAACATCGTGGACCCCCAGTAAAACTCAACGAAGGATAATTGATGCTGCTGTGTCGTGTACTATGAGGTCATACGCTGCACAGCCATCATGATAGGGACCAACACCTTAATGCTCTGGATGTAGGATACTTGACATTCCTCGTTGTTGCAGGAACTTTAACTCATCGCGACATGTGCACACATATTGCTCCATATTTTAATTTTTTAGACATTTACAATTAAAGAGTATTATACTTACCGTAAGAATTCATATTAAGCTTCTTCTTTTTGAATGCGATACCACAATTATACTTCGAAAATTTGTCAAGCAGGATTTTTGAGGAATTCAAGTTCAGCACCAAAAAAACAGCTTGTTTTCATTTACATATTGAAACTAAAAACTACGTGGAATAGCTTTTAACTGTGCCATAGTCAACAAGAAAACAGCTTTTTAAACTCAAATTACTCTTGGCACCTTTACAATTAACACATCCAGCTAAATAGCACCAATAGCAAGAAAGAAAAGTAAAAAAAAAGGAGCAAGGGAATGGTGCTCACAATGCTCACATGGAATCAATAGTCAATAACATAGATAATGAGAAACAATACTTACCAGACTTCATATCTACTCTTTCGACTCTCCCAAATTTTCTGAAGAGTCGTTCCAAATCAGACTGACGTGCATCATACTCAAAGTTTCCGCAGAAAATGGGTCTCATGTTGCCTGAACAGATGAGACAACTTTCCATCAGTATTTCACACACACAGAGACATACATGTTTACACACATGCAAACTTATGGAAGAACAAGTCAAAACAAGAGGGTAACCTATCAAAGTATCAAGTACTAACACATTCTAACAGAATCAAAATAGATAGAGCATGGCATCAGCATCAAAAAATATTTCAAAGCTATTTAGTAAACAAATAGAGGCTTAAGAGACAAAACAAAAGATAATCAACAAGACAAGGGGATGTTCCCGGATATTTGAAATATAGTACTGATGTCATTTTCATAAAAAAATACTCCAAAAGAAAAGGCTTTCTCTAAATGAATTACATAACTCTCATTCTTTATATTTTGATTCATCACACAATAAAAAGAAAATCCGAAAGCATTCTTTTCGAGTTAATATAAACAAATTATTCACAGTATTCTAGTGAACGACATTCTGGAGGTCTTTGAAAGGAAGGGGGAGCTAAAAACACAATTATAGCTACTGGATCTACATAAATGAAAAATGAAATAAAACAACAACCAAATCTACCATAAAGATATACAAATCATAGATCTAAGAAAAAATATCATCTTAGATACTAAGAGACAACTAAGGTGAGATAAGAGATTGGAACTGAACAAATTAAATTTATAAGAATCATATAAACTAGACTTTCCTTCATTTTCACATATTTTCATGGAAAAGAAAACAGAAAGCTCCGGAAATTAAACTTGTATAGAAACGATGATTAGAGTGAGGAAATTACCTTCGGAAGCAGGGATTTCAGGATGAAACAAATAAATAAAAAGTTCGAAACCCTAGTGAAAGAACCTCGCGATATTTTTCACGAAATGAGCTAAAATGCGAAGCTCGTGAGTCAATAAATAGCGAGGTGAAAATAACGTTCGTTTTTCTCAAGCCCCCAGTTTTTGAGATATTTGTGAAAATGGCCTGAAATTTATTAAGAAAATCCTAATTTGACCCAAATACTATTTGATATTTTATATTAATTAATTAGACGAAGAAGAATCCTTGTGTGAAAATTAGAATATATAGTTTTAAATCTAATAATAAAAAATATATAAATATTAACATAAAACTATAATATTTTATTATTTTTAGAATAAAAATAGATTTTTTTTGACACGTTTAGCTTAGTTCGGTTTAAAAGTCGGGCGCTCACCAGAAGCCCGAAGACCTGTCTAAAATTTGAAACAATGGGTTTGAACAAATAATCGAGCCCATTTAAAATATGGGTCGAACTAACTTTTTAAAATTTGAGTCTAGCCCATTTTTAAGTTTACAATATTTAAATTATGTTGTTTTTATATGTTTTATATCACTTTAAAATTATCCCTGTATAAAGATAAATAAATAAAGAAATTTAATGAATGGAAAATCTTATAAAATATTAAAAACTAAACTAAAAATAAAATAATTTTAAAATAAAATCATAATATAAGTAATTCGTTAACCAATTTGAATTAGTCATATATATATATATGAACAAAAGGCATAATAACAATTAGTACCCAACGTTTGTATAGATAGTCACTTCAAATCATATTTACCTTTAAATATAAAATTTATGAATCTTATGTATAATGATTGTTACCCATTAACATTTTCAGTTTGACTTTAGCTTAAACTATTTTCAATTCGAATTACGGCTTGCCCTTTAAATACTTCTAAATCATTCTTTAAAAAATGTGAATTTTAAAAAAAATCAATATTTAACTATTTAATTATATTTAATATTTAGATGTATTTTTTTTTAATTTAACCTAAGAATACAACTATTTAGTATGTGATTTAATAGGCCAGCATGTAAATTTTATAAAATTTAAAACTTTGCATTAGTCAAAGTTACTTTTATTACACCAAAATCATGTGTTATCCACTCAATTTTCAACCCTACATTAAAATTTTTAAATAAAATATAAAAGTTTAAATGTAAACGAAGAAAACTAAATTAAAAGTATCATTAACATAATAGAGTCCACATTACATAAGTAACAACACAACTACAAGCATATATATAACATTACATACTAAAAAAAATTATTGACCCGAGTTAAACTATATTATGTTAATGATACTTTTAATTTAGTTTTCCTTGTTTACACTATTAAGATTCAAACTTTTAAAAAATGTGAACCATCAAATTTAGACTTGGATTTGTTAATGATAGTTTTAATTTAAATAAATACATCACAAACCCAAGTGCAAATTTCTTATTATTCAAACTTAAACTATATATTACCATGCATAAGCTATAAAATTTATAATTTTCCAGTATAAAGATAATTCAAGTCATAAACACTTTTATTTTGACCCGAGTTAAACTATTTTCAAATGGATCACAATTAGACATATGAATACTTTCAAATTATTCTTATATAACGTTAAACTATTGAGACGTGAATACTTCTAAATCATTTCTATGTAGCTTTTATGTTTGTTTAATGATATTTAATATTCAAATGCATTTTAATTTTTTTATAATGAAAACATCTATTTAACATGTGATTTAATAGGCCAATACATAAAATCTATAAAATTTAAAACTTTGCATTAGTCGAAGTTACTTTTATTCAATCCTGCATAAACCCAGAAGAACCTTGATGAATGAAGTCAAGATTAGCAGCATCGTCCAACAGAGCAGCTTGGGGATGTTGAGCCTGATATTTCAGAAACGCAATCTTAGCTTGAGTTTTTGCCAGTTGCTTCTCCGCATCATGTATCTGTTTTTGCAGTGAAGATACGAGTCCAACACAGCCATAGACAGGGTCCTCGATCCGATACTGTGCCTCCATGCACAATAATTCCGCAGCTTCAGCTCGCAGATTGGGCGGTAGTTGCTACACACGATAACGGAACTTAGACCACATTAACATATATTATTCTGGTCTCGAAACTGAAGTTTACCTGGAGGAGTTTTGCGACGTTACTGGCGCCATAGATTCGGTGGACAGAAACAAATCTTTGTGGAATATTGGGTGGGAAATAAGGAGAGAAGATGCAATCAGGAGGGCATTTTCTTCTTAAATATCTGCAGGCAGCACAACGGCCTGGATTCATGGCAACGAGATTATGAAAATCTATTGAACGCTCTTTGAAGGATTCTCAAAATCTATTGTTATTCGAACAAATCTATCAAAGATTTGGATTAATATATAGTAAAATTTAGTATGGTTCATATGGCATTAGCATTGGACAGAAGAAAATCATGCAACAGCTATATTTTATTTTAAATTTTGAGAGATTTAGAGTAGAAAGTTGCTAATGTATAGGAATTGCCATAGTTTGGAGGAAGAAAAATGGTAATTAATTTTTTTTTCATTTGAATTCAAAATAAAGCTTAACAAATGATGGAGTAAATATATTAATTATCAGTTGATTTAATGAGATGAGACATCAAAATTTTTAAGTAAAATAAAATATTAGAATCTTAATATTATAAATAAATAAAAAAACTGAATTAAAATGATTGTCACCATTAAAAAGTTCAGATTACACGACCAAAATAACAAAGATTACACAACCAAAATAACAACACAACTGCAACATTACATGAACAAAATAAAACACAGCAAACCCAACTCCAAGTTTCCTATCATTCAAACTTAAACTATATATTATATATAGGCCATGCATAAACTATATGCATATAATTTGAATGCATTCCATCAACTAGCAAGTTTAATGGAGCTGCTTCCGGTTCATGATTGGATTCGGATGCTTCGAAGTGATGGTGTCAATCGAACAGATTGCCGAAGTTGAACAAGGAAGCTAGGAACTCATCTTCTTGGGAAACCTGCAATGATAAAATCGTAAACGTAAAAAAAAAAAAAAAACGAAAAGGAAAGTTATTGATGAAGAAAGAATTTGAATTAAATATAATGCTAAATAAACTTCAGTGATGAAATCATGGTAACATGCCTGATCATTTGATGAGTTATCTTCAGCAGTTAGGGCATCATCGTTCACTTGGAATAAGCTGCTGAGTAAGTCAGGGTCAATCGGTTGTTCCTCTACCTGGGTTTGTTGCTATATACATTACAACAGATGAGTATGAGAGCATGATCCATAACAAAGAAAATTTAGTTTTGGAAATTGAACTTTGCCTGATTAGTGTTTCCAGATTCATTGGAAGGGTTTGCATCGCCAGCAGCAGCAGCAGTATCGGTGTTGATCAACTCTTCAAGAGCACTTTGAATCTGCGGAGGCACGAATATTGTATCGAATTGAAGGGTAACAGGTGGTGGTAGAGATAACCGGAATCAAAATAATGCACTTGCCTGGCTAACACCTTGTTCATTCCAAGGAGCGTTATCTTCCAGGGACTCGTCAATGTCGGAGTTCAGAAGTTCATCCAGTGAGGGGTAGATTTCCGGGTACAATGAGCCGAAAGAAAACTCCGGATTGTCGTCGCCACCGCCGCTGCCAGAACCAGCTTGTTGCTGTGCCAATCAAAAACAAATTGTTTCGAGAAAGAAGATCAATATATAAAACCAATTCACTCAATCACTAGAATAGAAATGTAGTATATACCTGATTAGACGATTGATACTTCTTGGACCCAAGGATGAGGTCGCTGAGTTCGTTGAGGTAAGCATCGTCAAGTTGCAGATCAAAACCATTATTCAGCAGCTCGTCAGAATTATAATCGGTCACTCCTGGATAGTCGAGACCCGGCAGCATCGTGTTTGCTTGTTGCTTCGACGCAGTAGACCCTGGTGGAACTTGGTTTGTTTCATGTAATACCGGCGAAGATAACACTCCTGGAGCCAGATAATCAAAAGTTTGATTCCCCATGGATGCAACATTCATGTTCTCATTGAAAACACCAGTCATTGAATCATAGCCACCGTTAAGTTCATCAGCATTCAAGCTACTCCCAGCGTAGCTAGTATTATTGCCGTCGTAATCGGGATTCAGACTAGAGCAGGACTGGGAACCGCTCATGCTTCCGAAGATCCCGTTGGTTCCGAATGTCGAACTCGGAGAGCGAAGACCAGGTGAACCAAACCTGAACTGGGATGAGGAACCAGCATCGTAAAAGCCAGACCTTGGTTGAATCTGCTGCGGGTACGATGGCAACGAGTTAGAAGAGTTCATCAGGCCACCAGATAATCCCGGTCGATTACCCAGATAGGTCGGATTCATCAGGTTCCCAGAGAGCAGTGGCTTGTTAGCTTGGTGGGACAGTAAACGGGATTGTCCACCGCCATATGGCTGAACCCTGTTGCTGCTTGAAGCACCATGATTACCATAGCCGAAGGTTCCATACCTAGTAGTATTATGAGGCGAATAATTCCCTCCATAGCCAGGATAGGATGTTAAGCCCCTCAATCGTTGCAGTTCTTGCAGTCGAGCGTATTCTTGAGCTGTTTTCATCAACAGTGGATGGCCAGCTGCGAAAGTAGACTTGAGGAACCTGTCGAACATGGCCTTTGATTGAAAACAACCCCTTTCTGCGATTCGCTTTAAGAAGAGGCGATACTTCTGCAATATTTACATATCCACAAGAAGTATTAGGGATATTACAAAACCACTAAGAAAGATTAGTGACAAGTACTTTTCTGAGAAAAAAATTAAAGGGATCTAAGTAGATAATTAGCCAAAAGCGAACCTGTAAATGACTAGCCACATTTTCTCTGGTTAAGCCTCGGACATTCATATGCTCAAGAATCTTCTTGGGAACAGCTTCTGCTGGAGTTAAACATGAAAAGAAAACAAAGTTTCATCAGTTAGATAGGCATTTTCAAATCAAAATTATCGATGATGATGATGTGTGTATATATATACACATACTTTCGAGGCCAAGATCTCGCAAGGCATCTAAGAACTGGTGATGAAGTGGGTTTGTCCAGACCACCTTAGCCTTCCTGGCCTTCTTTGGCTTGAGTTTAGGGTTATTGTCTTCATCTTTTCCATTCTTGTCCTTCCCCGGTTCCTTTCTTTTGGAACCTCTTTGACCATCATCCCTTTCATTATTCACAGGAGATGACAATCGTCTCATGTTGCCGATGCATAGTTTTCCGACCGACGATGACAAAGAGTCTCCTTCGATTTCCTCGATAGCCAGGGATTTACCTTTCTTGCCAACAACGGCATACTGCCATACATCCTTGAGACCATCGGGGCTCACAGGTTTTACTATGAAAAACACAGCTCCTCCCACTAAGCTATCCAGCATCACACGTTCACTGTCATCGGAGGACATTACTGCACTCGTTGAAAAGTGTTAAAGTTTCAGACTTTCAGTCGCTGTAACTCGTAAAAGGAAAAGGAAAGCCAGTACTTACTGATAACGGGGAGTTTTCTGAATTCCCGTTTGATTTGTTTTTGGAGCTCGATCCCATTCATTTCTGGCATATGAAGATCTGTGACCACTAGGTCAATATTGTCTGGATTTGCCCGAAGAACAGACAACGCTGCCAAGGGATTCTTAACACTTGTAACTGAAACATAAACATGAGTATACTTTACCATGAAGAAAGTTTCAACTTTTTTTTTCCTGGGAACAGAACATTGATATGAAAAACCCTAAGAAAAAAGTCACTGGAATGAGCGAAATCACCATGAAAAGAACTAAAAACAAAGTTTACATAGATATACCTTGATAACGAAACCCTCTTAACATGGCGGAGACGATTGCCAGAGAAGTGGAATCATCATCAACCACCAAGATTGTGATTTTCAAAACGGGAGAGCATACTGCAAAAGCCCTAGGATTTGAAAACTCTCTTCCACTCGGTCTCTCATCATCAGACCCCATCTTTCTCTTTCTCTCTTCTCCTCTAGTTTGATTTGGGAGCAACAATGGCCGCACTTATTTATATTTTGAGTACCAGAAGTAAGCAGATTCGTGGCTGCAAATTTGGTGATACAAATGGCAGGGAACTGTGTCTACACTCTACACACAAGCAAAGTCCGTTTTGTTTTGTTTCTCTTTTGAAATTATTTGATTTAATCTGCAGTTTCTCTTTTGATTCTTTGAACATGAAATGATGAAACTATGAAGAACAAGACAACATTGGGGGATGAAGAACTATCGCCCCTTGAAATTTTACAGGAATTTATGATGAAAATCCAGTGTATAATCTAAATTAAATGAGATTTACCAAAAATAATAGTCTCTTACATGGAAATGCTTAGCGTAAAAGATTTGTCCATATTTATGTTCAAACCCTCTTCCTATGATTCAACATATTTTCCGGTTTAGTAATAAGACACGTTATCAAAAGAAATAATCATAAGTTCCGGATGAAAATTAAAAGATTAAAAAAGAAAAGTGCACATATAATGTTTGGATTAATTAACAATTTAATACGTAAAAAAAGGGTATTTAACAATATAAACGATCATATCTTTGATATTATTAACGTGAAATATTATGATTAATAATCTAAATAAAGTTATTTTTTTGTAAAAGAGTATTAAAATAACGATATTTAACGATATAACGGTCTTATCTCATCTTATCTTTAATATTTTTCATATGAAATGTGTATTCTTTTTTACTTAGCATGTGAAACATATTATTATTTAATAATCCAAAACGATATTTAATGATATAACGATAAAAAATTATCTATAAATCCTTAGCATGTAATACAACACTTTATTTAATAATCTCAAATGATGGTACTTGATACAACAATCAACAATTCACCTTCAACGTTATTACCACGCAATACATTACTTTTTTAACAACTTAGAATAACGTCATTTAAATATATATCATATCTTAACATTATTAATGTAGGAAACAATCCTTGTTTAAAATTCAAAATAACCATATAACCATGATATATCATCTTTAATAACATTGTTAAGGTTTAATAATGTAAAACAATATTCACAAGTGTCATAACCATTTTTTTTTTATAAAAATAATTTATATTATTTTAAAACGATTACGACTTTAATTTAGAAAATTGGTGATTATGGATTAATTAAAATTAAATTGAAAATGAGTCGCCATCGACCTTTGGGTTGGGCAGGTCGAATACCTAAGAACGTCTTTTAAAAACAATTTTAAGAAAAATAGTTTTATAAGACAAAAATTTGATCTGCGTTACCAAAGATTCACTTAAAACATGTTCGGGAGTCGGTTACGTGTGGGGAAGGATAAACACCCCTACAACGCCCAAAATTGGTACTGTGTCGCTTACACACCGTCGTAAATGATGGAAATTATAAATCGTATATAAAGTTAAAAAAATGATCTATTTATCGAACATTGATTAATTTGCTTCGAATTATTTAATTAGAGAAAATTCTTTAACTAAAAAAAAAATCTCGAGATTAACCATCCTCCGTCGGGAAAGCTAACTCGTCTATTTCTTATCTTTAAAAGAATATTCCCTCATTAACAAAGATACGAATGGAATATACAAAAAACGATATTTTCATACAACAAAATAAATTGATAAAAAATAAATCGAATATACATAAAAATTTGATGTTTACATACAACAAAATAAACTAAATAATGAATCGAATATAAAATGTAGAACAAAAATTGACAATTTGCATGAAATGAAATAAATTATTATTCAGAGACATTCATTACAATGTTCGGCTTAAAATAAAAAGAATTAATTAGCAAGATAAAATCAATTTTATTTCACGTTCACATTTGTTTAAATGTCGTATCGGATTACGCCGCTTCGATCAAGCGATGCTTTCCACGCCCATTCCACGAAAGACAGTTCTTGAAGATATTCGAATAAAGGACATTAAAATGAATATATAATCATAATTACTTAATAAACGGTTTTAAAAGCACAACATACCTTCATGTACGTACTAAAAACATTAAGTAACAAAGTAAATACATCAATACAACATGCACCTATATATATATATATATATATATATATATATATATATATATATATATATATATATATATATATATATATATATATATATATATATATATATATATATATATATATATATATATTGACAATAACAGTAAAATATATATACATCAACACAATACAATTATAAGTAAATATCTAAAACAATAAAACAACAAGGACTATAAGCATAAAATAAATACTTGAACCTTAAATACCACATTATATATAAGAATCAATATGCGAATGAGATTAAACATAAGGTATAAATAAATTACCCAATTTACTAATTAATACAAGTGGCCGGAATGAACACTAAATAATATCATCTGTCAAAAAAGGAATACTTAGACGAACAGCCATACGAGATCAAACATTACTTAAACCAAAGGATAACAATATGAAACAGTGACCAAAGTGTAAGTGTAACAGAATTCAAAGCTTAAAGTAAATTATGCAAAAATTCTATTCTATGACTAAAATGAAAAGAATACAAGATCAGCAGTCCAAAAGCTAAACAGATAAACAAATATAAAATAAACAAATGTGACTAAAATAAAATATTAGACAGATTACAAAGCTCAAAATGAAAAGATAAACTTTCATTGGAATGATCAAATCACAAACATTACAGAATTAAAAGGATCTAAACTGCGGTTTATCCCAAACATAAAAAACATGCGTGAGAGATTACAGAATTAAAAGGACCCAATCTGATATTAGACCCTAAAAACCCAGAACGTGCAGGTAAGCTTGCAAAACTAGGAGGACCAAATAAGCTATTTACCCTGTTTTGTTTGAAAAACACGGTGAAATGGGGTTTAAACGACGTCGTTTGGTTGTGGTCATATACCACGCTTAAGGGTTTCTAAAACCCTATTCTCTCATTTTTATTTCTTTCCCCCCTCAGCCGTGCCTTTCTCCATCCTTCACCGAGCTCTCTCCATCATTCACCGAGGATGGAAGCTATTAACTCCCCGGCCCCTAGCATCTCTTCTCTCATCTACAACAACCCCCTAACCTACTTAAAACCCAAAACAAACCCCATTATTTCGAACCCTAACAAACCCTAGCATAAAGAAAAGACTTTACCTTCAGAGGTGGTTCCTCCTAGCTTCGACGAGGTCACTAAGGGTTGAATCTACAAGGTAAGTAAGTTGTGGTTTCGGATTTTTCTTTTTTCTCTTCGTTTTTTTCTCCTCGATTTTCTTTGTATTTTTTCTGTTCGAATGGTTTTTTTTTTCTCTCTGTCTTTCTCTGATTTATGTGGGATATTTGGTGATAATGATGAAGCCTCTACATAGGTGAAATGATTTTCCAGATTTTGCTATGTTAAATCCCGAAAAATCGGGATTTAACTTATTTTAAAATGGGGTTTTAAATAGGTTACTGTAAATGATAACTTGGGACTGATTTGGGGACGTTTTGCACTGTAGATGACGCTGGTGACGTGGGAACGGCGGCTGGACCATCGGAGTGGGCCGGAACAGTAACGGCGGCGTGGCACCCTTTCCTCTGTTGGGCGGCTGCTGATGATATTTAGGGTTTCAAACCCTAATTACTTTGGGTTACTGAACGGGCCTGGGATTAGTATTGGGCCTGAACCGGGTCTGGGCTCCAAGTCTTGTAATTTTGGGTCGGGCTTGGTATCTGATGGGCTTCGGGTTTGAGCCTGCAAAATTTTGTAATATATTAATAATAAAATAATAAGATGACGATAATAATAATAATAATAATAATAAAATAACGAAAAAAACCCGGACAAAAACGGGTGTCTACAGCTGCCCCTCTTTGCACATTCTTGTGTTAACAAGAATAGGGCAAAGATGATAAGACAACACGTTTTTGTCTGGTTCTCTTCCATTTATACATAGAAATTGGATAATATTGGTTGTTGGGGACGACACTGCTCGTACGTGATGAAGAGTTTGGTTATCTATGGTTGACACGGCTCCTACGTGATGAAGAGATCTGGTCGGGGAATGACACGGCTCATACGTGATGAAGAGTTCTGGCCATCTAAAGGTGATAACACGGTTCCTACGTGATGAGGACGGCTGGTTATCTAGGGTGACACGGCTCATACGTGATGAAGAGATCTGGTCGGGGAATGACACGGCTCATACGTGATGAAGAGTTCTGGCCATCTAAAGGTGATAACACGGTTCCTATGTGATGAGGACGGCTGGTTATCTATGGTTGACACGGCTCATACGTGATGAAGAGATCTGGTCTGGGGATGACACGGTTCCTACATGATGAGGACGACTGGCCATTTTTAGGAGTTATGGTTTCTAGAGAAACCAGATTAAAGATTTGTTTCAAATAAACTCAAAGATGATATTTTTTTTAAAAGCAACTGTCTCAAAAGAGAAAAAATTCGTTTTAAGGGAAACGACTCAAAGACGACGTTTAAAGGGAAACTGTCTCAAATGAGACAAAATTCGTTTAAAGGGAATTGATCTCAAAGATGTTTGTTTTGTTTCAAGGGAAACAAATTCAAAGATGGTAAATTTTGTTTTCCAAATAAACAAACTCGAAGATTTTTCTCACAGAAACCGTCTCGAGAGACACAAAATTTTGTTTCCAAAGAAAGAGATTCAATGATTTTTTTTCTTTTTTCAAAAGAAATTGTTTTAAGGGATAAAACATTGTTTCCAGAGAAACAAACTCAAAGATGATCTTGTTTTAAGAGAAAATGTTTCAAGAGAAAATGTTTCAAGTGAAACGACTCAAAAATGGTTTTATTTCAATTGAAACAAACTCAAAGATTTTGTATTTCTAGAGAAACTGCCTCAAGGGAGTCAAAATTTGTTTTAATAAAAACAATCTCAAAGGTGGGTATTTTCAAAAGAAGTTGTCTCGAGAGACAAAATTTTGTTTCAAAGGAAACCAACTCAAAGATTTT